CCATACTTTGGATGTATTGAATCCCGCTGCAAAGATTGTTCACCGTCTCTAGACCACTATGCTGAATTACTCTGTTGCTTTCTTACTTCTCTTAGCCGTCTTCAGCTTTGCTTCTCCGCTCTTCAACTTCTCATGTTTACTCTTCCTCTTCTCCTTCTTTCCAACAGACTCTTCGCCCTTGACTGGCAAATCATCTGCTTTCTTCTTTGTAGCATCTTTTTTCTTCCCTTTCGAAGACAGCCCATCTTTCTTATGCTTGATAGTGGCATCATCTTCATCTACCATCTTAGCCAACTTTTTGAACCGTTTCTCAACAGGAACATCATCGTCTCCATCTTTCACCTTAGTCGACTTCTTCAACTGTTTCTCATTGTTAAACTCACCGAGAACCTTTTCCCCATTCAATTCAGCATCATCTTTCACCTTAGCTGACTTCTTCAACCTTTTGTCACCCTTAGACTCACCAACAACCTTTTCCTTCTTCCTCTTCTTCTTCCCCAATTCACCACTACCCGGTTCTTCGTTCTCACTTTGCTTACCTTCTCCAATATCCCCATCACCAACCAATTCATCATCGTCAAGCACCTCACCAGCATTGCTATCCATATACCTCACTTCATGAATTCTACCCTTCTTCTTACTCACTTTCTCACTCTTCAAACCCTTACTCTCAGACTTAACAACCTCTTTCACTGCCTCCTTAGCTTCCTCATCACTCTTAGCTCCCTCAATCTTCAATGTAAAATCCGGCACGGCCTGGTAAACCGGCAATGCAAGCGACTCCAGAAACTTCAAGTGAAATGACCTCACATCCCTCCACTTCTTAGGCACAATCTCCACAATCCCATTAATCGCCGCAACCACGTTCTCCACAATCTCATCAACGCTCATGGACACCTTCGCTACCCTCACCACGCTGCACGTCCCGGTACTCAAGAACAACAAGGCCGACTCACATGCCCTGTCAACCTGCTCCTTCCAATTCTTGTGCTCCAAGTCCACAGGCACCGGAATCTTCTTCTTCTTAAAAAAGTGCTTCCCCAAATACTTCGGAAGCAAAGGCACAATCCGCCTATCAACCAAAAACATATCATACGAATGCAACAGCTTCCTCTTGGCTTCAAAGGGGACATAATCAGTCTTGAGCTTCGAAAGCTTCAAAATTTTCGAGATGGGTATATTCTCAGCCTTGATTTTCTTCTGGATGAAGTCCTTGGTGAGATTGGACTTGGGGCCATCGTCGTATATCAAGCAGAGCTCGGAAAGCTGGGAATGGAGGGGATTTGGGAGAGGGACTTTGTAGGCGTTTACGCGGGCCTTTGGTGGGATTTTCTTGAGGGTGAGAACGAGATAGGCGAACTCGTCGGATTCTAAGAGATCGGGTTTCTCGGTCTGCAACTTGGAGTTTCGCCATTTGATGAGGGCATTTACAGCTTTCTGCACCGTCGGAAACGACCCCACGGAAGCCATGGAAATAGGCTTAGAGGTCCACCTGAGCCGATTGAACGACCACAAGGAATGCCCTCCAACTGCTCGCTGGTTTGCCTGAGAGGAAGAAGAAGCAGCGCAGCTCGCCTGAGGACGAAGAAGAAGCTCACGCTTCTCGTGCTCCTTCAGTCTCACTTTTCCTTTCAAACTCTGTCAAGAAAGCCAGACATAGAGAAGAAAGAAAGAAAGAAAGAGGGAGAGAATGGTGGGAGGCGGCTGAAACAAAAGAACGGTGCGTTGAGTGGGAGAGAGGTAGGGTTATTATTCGGGCTTCAACTTAATTAAATGTGAAGTTGGGCTTTAAACTTAAGGGTGAAGTTGGGCTTTTGACTTAGGGGTAAAGTTGGGTTTTGGGATCAACTTATTAGGGTGCATTTTTGCTCACCACTTTAACCATAGGTGTACCCTCACCACCATCCTCAATGCTTGACACGTGTTCATGCTTGACACCTATGGTTAAAGTGTTGAGCAAAAATGCTCCCAACTTATTATTCATGCATGATTAGACATTTCTCAATTTATTATTCACGAATATATTCGGGCCATGAATCGAATGGACTGTCCCTGGTGTTATCGAATACCATATTGAGTTAACACAATTTGTCAGCCATTATGAATTAGGTTAATAAGCTAACCTGGTGATAATAGCAATTAATCTACCCATAATGTTAGGAATAAGTAAGCAGTCGAAATATATTTTCTTGTCCTATATCAATCCAATTCAACGGTTATTAATTATCATAACAATTTGGATCCATATCCATCGTTACTACCTACGTATGATGTCTGTAATTGCTATTATATTACTTATTAATAACTTTATATATCATTTGAGAATGTTAACTAATATATCCAAAATAAAGATATATATCTATTCATGTTTGCGAAGATGGTGTTTCCTCCCTTTTTAATATTTATACTGTCCAAGGTAGGTTATATGATTTATCTTTATCCTTATTCAATTTTGCATAGCACATTTGTTTCTCAAGAAGAGATGGGAAACACGCTCAATTTCATTTGATTGAATAGTTGACCCAACTCCTTGTTGTTTGAAGGTAACGCGTTAAGTTAGGGTGAATATACGAATATATGTAGCTGTGAAGTACAGCAATACCCTAGGACCTGCAAATAATTATCCGAATCTGAGTAAATAAATTAACCAAATGATATACCAGAAAATTTTGTGTAGGGTTCAATGAATACAATGAAAGGTATAACCCAAAGCTATTTGTCCAAAGGCATATACCAAACTATCATAGCTGACATTGTCCTCCCTAGGAATATGACTATATATGTATCAGTATCCGTAAACGGATATTATATTAAAGTAGGATATTGCATTAATAAGTGAATAATGCGATATATTATAACTCAGTAATAATTATATTTACCTCATTTGGTCCTGTATAGTTATTCATATTCGCCAGAATGGAGGTGCTGGCTACAATAAACCAACGCACTACATATCCGTAGTTTAGTCTCTATACCAATTTGTTTTGTGTCGTGTGTGTAGTGCTTCTAGATCCTCTACCACACTTTCCATAATAAGTATATTAGTCGTGGCTATATTAATATTGGTTTATACTAAGACTTACTGATGGGTTCATTAATTAGCAGGGGGCTCATATATTGTTATTAATAATATATACCTCATTTTTGGGTGTTCCGAGTACACCATGTGGCTGGTGTACCATCCAATGGACGGAGGACATATGGAATATTTTCAATGCAGCCCGCCACATGTCATAAAAAGAAATACAGTAAGTTGGACAATAATTTCATATGTCCTATGTTTATTGGATGATACACCAGCCACGTGGTGTACCCGGAACATTTAAAAATTTCTCCAATTTTTGATTCATCCATGTAAAATTATCCTCCCAGAAATTTATCAATGGCAACAACCGGATAAGTTTCAACTAAAGCTACACATTTCTCTTCAGTTATACAATATATCCATGTATTCTAGTATTATTAATTGGGGGTGAAAGTGGAAAAGTTGACAGATAAGTCATCCTTACTCACCTTGGTTATATTTAATCTCTTCAACAAGCCTTGGTAATAATTAAGAGAATATACAACATTGGTGTACTTGTAGACAGAGAATATACTCCTCCATGATCTGGTCCCTCCACTTTGAAGTAGGGGGAATATATATTTTGTTTTTGTAAAAGAGGCAATTGTTCTGCCAAGAAAACTGTGGTTTAATAGGAGCTTTTGGGCTTGCAAAGCCTGAATAATAATGTTCATAGCTTCTGTGTCGTTAAGGCAATCAGCTTTTATTTGTGATACACTATCAAAAATGGGTGTGGATAACCCCATGATGGCCAACAATTCTGGTTTGCGAGACAAGGCATCCGACCCTGCATTTTGGGTACCATAACGATAATCAATCTCATAATCATACCCCAGCAATTTCAGTAACCACTTTTCTTGTGTTGGAGAGGTGATTCGCTGCTCCAAAAAAATTCGATGGTCTAATGATCCGTCAAGATCTTGAAATGGCGGCCGATGAGGTATGATCTCCAGTGTTGAACTGCAAATATAACTGACCTCATCTCCTTGTCATACACATATAGGCTCTTGTGCTTATCTGAGAAGCGATTTGGATGTTTGTCCTGGGAAAGAATGGCACCAATTCCCACATTAGATGCATCACTCAAGCACGAATAACTTGGAAAAATCCGGCAGGGCTAGCACAAGGGTAGTCATGAGAGCAGCCTTGAGGTTCAGAAATGGTGACTCGGCTTTTATTGTCCTGGCAAAATTATCTTTTTGCAGCATATATATGAGTAAGTGGCCTGGCTATCGGGCCAAAACCTTGTACAAACTTCCTGTAGTATCCGGCTAGTCCCAAAAATCCTCTCAACCCCTTAATGGTAGTGGGTTTAGGCCATTCCTCGATACATTGCACTTTGATTGGATCCACTGCCACTTTAGCTGCAAATATGACATGTCCCAAATATGCCACAGAGTTTTGAACAAATAAACATTTTGAGAACTTCACCTTCTAATAATAATTGGTTCTTATAAAATTTTAACACTCTAAGAACCAATTAGAAAATGACAAGTTTCGAACCAAAAAAATAAAATAAAAAATGACGTACTAAAATGAGTTTTTGAATAAATACTTGACCAAAGAGTCGTCACCTTAAATTAGCTAACAAAAATATTACTTGAATACATTAATTAAAATCAAAGTTTATCAGTCCTCTCAATAACAATATAGACTCTCATTAGGATTTTAATTAGATTAACAAATACAGATAAGATTAAGTCGATAGACTCTCATTATCTAACTAGTACTAGTAATCCTGCTAGACACAGGAGGTTTTGCACTATAAATACCTTATCAAACCCACCTAATTTTGTACGCTTAATTCCATCGATCCTTCCAAGTTGTTTTCTTTTCGTTTTCTCTGGTTCAGTTTTTATTGCTTCAAGCAGTTTTCTTAGCTTTCTTAGATTGATTTTTTAGTGAAGGAGAGAGAAAGAGTTAGAAGAAGGTAACAATGGCTGGGGGCGGTATAGCTCCATCGAGTGGTAGAAAACAGTACCCTGGTAAACTCACCGCTAGGGTTCTTATAACATGTATTGTTGCGGCTACCGGTGGTCTGATTTTTGGGTACGACCTTGGAGTTTCAGGTATGTAACTTTTTTTTTCACAACCCAGTTCTATTTATGTATGCATCCTTTAATTTCTAGAATTACCATGCACTGTTTATAAGAATATACATAACATCGAATTTGATTTGGTGATTATGCAGGCGGTGTGACATCCATGGACTCTTTCTTGAAACAGTTCTTTCCAGGGCCCATTGAATACATGATTCTGCTTTTTCAATCAAGCCCAAAATTAAGGTCCAGTAAGACCATCTCCAATCCATGAGGGGCTAAACTCAAATTTTCCCCCTCCAAAAAGTGACTATTTGGGTTTGCCCGAACTCAAATTGTTTTTTCTCCCAACCCTCCGGACTCAAATTTTAAGTCCACAACTTTATTAAATTGTTTAAGAATGGTTTAAGTCTAATTTTTTTTTATTTATGGATAACTTTTCTTCATTCAATCTTTTTAAATAACTTCATAATTAAATTTTTTGAACAATTTGACCTAAAAAAAATTGAAATTCCACAAATATAATTTGACCTAGATTAATTTAAAATATTGTTTTGACCATTGGATTAGATCGTTGATTTAAGTTACATTTAGAATATAAAAACAAAAACAAAAAAACCAAATAGCAACAGCAGCTTGACAAGTGGCGGGACAAGCAGACAAACTTGAACAGCACAGCAGGTCAGCTGGGGCCCATGTCAGATTTTGTGCACATGGGGCTGTTTTAGGTGCAGTGGGCTCCATTGAATAGTGTTGGGCCCAGGCAATACTTGGACCAATATTTGGGTTTTCCCAAATTTTGGGTCCTTCATTTTGTTGGGTTGGGGGAGGTTTGGGGCAATATTTTGGGTTTGGGTCTTTGCATTGGAGATGGCCTAAGGACGCAAGGGTAGTTAATAAAAAGAGCACCAACTTACAGAGCACATATATTTTCATCTTCTCCACTCCAGAGAGCCCTACTCTACATCTACCGTCTAAGCCTAAAAAGCTGCACTTAGGTCTCCTCTTGGTAACTCTTACAAAACTTTGTCCATCTCTTAATTTTCTCATGTTTTTGTTTGTTTGGAAAAAATATGTAATATATATATATATATGGACCAATTTTTTTTTCTTCTTATTTATTTATTTATTTTTGTATTGGAAGGTCCATGCAAAGTATTTAGAAGATTGTATTTTGAGTTAAATTTTCCAGTTTCTAAATAGAAAAAGGGGGAATATATATTTATGATTATTCGTTTTTGATACTTTTTTCTTTAGTTTTATTATATATAAAAATCAGTCCCGTTCTCCTGACCCTTGTGGTCCAAGGAGTTTGTGGTCACTCACCCTTGGATCTAATCTAAAGGTGTAGAAAAAATTAATTTAAAAAACCATATAAATATTTATATTATTTTAACTTACCCAAAATACGTTTTCTGAAAAGAAAAAAAGAAAAAAAGAATACACCTCTTGCTTTTTTGTTCTGTCGCTCAAGAAGCTTGTAGCCGCTGCCCTCCTCCTCAGATTCTGCCATCGTAGTGGAGGGAGGTGCGGCTTCAATTACACAACCTAGCGTCGCCGATTCCAAAAAGTGTGACCAACGTGTCATTGAACATCCACGAAACTCTCATACATATTCATCTTTAGTTTTCAGATACTATTTTCCTCGGTTACAGATAGTAAACCACAATAGATTTTCTTCTACTGTTGTAGTTTTCTTCTGGGTTTGATTGCAATGGCGTGCAGCAGTGTTCAAGGTTGATTGTCCTTTGTTTTCATCGATGGGAATAAATCTCATGGTTTTACAGCTTTCTCTTCTGACAATCATCAAAAGATGAACTCAGCAATCAATTTATTGATTATAAGGTTGGAAGGAGGAAGCTTTTCTTACAGGGTGGTTGCCAAATGCTCCTCATGCAGGTATGTTAAAGAATACAAGTTCCTTTTTTATTTCCCTCTTTGTTTTATTTTCTTCTATTTTTATGGTTTACTTCCTTCAATTTCATACCAAAAAAAATCACAATTTAATGTTTTTTTTTTCTTTTGTTGTCATTTTTAGGTGGCTATTGGAATTGCTATGGCTGTTAAATTTGGGGTCAGCGGCAACCCTGGAAAGTTGACACTAGGGTTTGCAGTTCCCTTGGTGCTCTTAATCTGTGTTTACGTTGCTGGATTTGCCTGGTCTTGGGGGCCTCTAGGATGGTTGGTGCCCAGTGAAATTTTCCCACTTGAAGTAAGGTCTGCTGCTCAGGCTATCAATGTCTCCGTCAACATGATCTTCACCTTTGCCATAGCCCAAGTCTTTACAGCCATGCTCTGCCACATGAAGTTTGGCTTGTTCTTCTTCTTCTCAGTCTGTGTGGTGGTGATGAGCATTTTCATCTACAAATTGTTGCCCGAAACGAAAGGAGTTCCAATAGAAGAAATGCACACTGTGTGGGAGAATCATCCATTTTGGCGGAAATATGTTGTTAAAGATGAAGGCATTGCCATGGGCAAGGCCAAGGGAGGACAGAGTGCCTAAAGTTTGTTTTTGTTTTAGATTTTCTCTATGTTTTATAAATTTTTGTAAACTTTTTAGGTTTAATTTCGGTCTGGAAAATTTTGTTGGATATTGGATTTCTTTTTTGATGTGTCTGATCGGATTAAGCTTATTTATTTTAAAATTGATTTATCTTCAAATTGTCAATTGAGCCCTAGAAGCCCAAACTTATATAAGGCTTATGCATGTGTATCCGAAGGCCCAATTTATTTCAACCACTTGAATGATAGATTCAAATCTTCATATTTTGATAATCATAAATATTTAGTGGTGTTAACTTTATCTCCAACTAATGTTATCCCAATTGATCATATCATACGTGATAATATTTCATTGGTTCAAATATATCTAGTCGTTTTGAAACTCATTATTATGATAAGAAATTTTAATTTAGGGGCGAGACCATGCACTCAAATAAAACTCCTTTGTTTTCCTATTGGAGGGTGTATTGGCGGTTGATATAAACTTACTGTCCAAGTGATAGTTATTAATATAGTTGCAGATAAGGAAGAATGCCTTTGCGTGACTTCCAATTCCTCTAATCCTATTCTTATCTTCTTGGTGAGTTGGCTAGCCTTACTACTTCAAAGGTTTCTACTTTGACACGTAATAACAAGAACTATTTTAAAACATCAGTCCTGTTCTCTTGGACCCCTGTAGTCCAAGGAGTTTGTGGTCACTCACCCTTGGATCTAATCTAAAGGTGTAGAAAAAATTAATTTAAAAAACCATATAAATATTTATATTATTTTAACTTACCCAAAATACGTTTTCTGAAAAGAAAAAAAGAAAAAAAGAATACACCTCTTGCTTTTTTGTTCTGTCGCTCAAGAAGCTTGTAGCCGCTGCCCTCCTCCTCAAATTCTGCCATCGCAGTGGAGGGAGGTGCGGCTTCAATTACACAACCTAGCGTCGCCGATTCCAAAAAGTGTGACCAACGTGTCATTGAACATCCACGAAACTCTCATACATATTCATCTTTAGTTTTCAGATACTATTTTCCTCGGTTACAGATAGTAAACCACAATAGATTTTCTTCTACTGTTGTAGTTTTCTTCTGGGTTTGATTGCAATGGCGTGCAGCAGTGTTCAAGGTTGATTGTCCTTTGTTTTCATCGATGGGAATAAATCTCATGGTTTTACAGCTTTCTCTTCTGACAATCATCAAAAGATGAACTCAGCAATCAATTTATTGATTTGGGTACGAGAGATACGGCCTCAGAGACCGCCCAAGATCAAGACTTGTTGATCTTCGACTGCAAAAGTGTTGTCGATTTGGGCTCTAGTTCTGAGTAATCATGGATGTTTAATGATGGGTTGGTCACCCTTTTGGATGGAGGAGGCTGTGAACAATCATGGATGTTCATGAGCGACAGAACAAAGAAGAAACGTGTTCTTCTTCTTCTTTTTCTTTTTTTCTTTTTTCAGAAAACATATTTTGGGTAAGTAAAATAATATAAATATTTATATGAATATTTAAATCAGTTTTTCTACACCCTTAGATTAGATCCAAGGGTGAGTGACCACAAACTCCTTGGACTACAGGGGTCCAAGAGAACAGGACTGATGTTTTAAAATAGTTCTTGTTATTACGTGTCAAAGTAGAAACCTTTGAAGTAGTAAGGCTAGCCAACTCACCAAGAAGATAAGAATAGGATTAGAGGAATTGGAAGTCACGCAAAGGCATTCTTCCTTATCTGCAACTATATTAATAACTATCACTTGGACAGTAAGTTTATATCAACCGCCAATACACCCTCCAATAGGAAATGACTTACTACCGACTTGTTCCTTGCATATATATAGGATGTTAAGTTGCACAACAAATGAAAACAAAGAAAAAATGAGAGAGAGAGAGAGAGAGAGAGTTAAGTGATGAAATTCTTGGAAGAGATATAGGACTAGCTTGTATTTTCTTAACTTGGAGCAATGCCTTGGAATCGAGGTAGGGATTTCTTGGGGAGCCTTTACAGAGATTGTGTTAATTAAATTTCGTGAACACTATATTATGCATGATATTATCATTTGATTATTATTGACATTGGGTGTTTAAGTGTTGTTAATTAAATATATTATTTTATTAATATTGACATAATCATATGTTATCAGTGATGGTTGGAATTCTTGGGTTGATGGAAAATAGGGTAATGGAAATAGTCTTTTGTGTAGTTGAGTCTAACTCTCGGTAGGTACCAGGTCTCAGGGATCCTACAGTGCACATGGTTTTTATTGGGTGATTCGGGACTGGCGACAGGGAGTTAGACAAGATGACTAACAAAAGGGGAATTGTGGGATGATTGAAATGGGTGTTAGTTCATATAAATGGGCATTCGGGACCAAGTGGTATAAGCATGGTATGGGACGTGCAGGTCTGCTTGTTCAGTTATATGAATTAACGGGATTAGATGAAGAACATTCATTCATGCATTACCATTATTAATGTGATATTTGGCTATGTGATTGCATGTCACTTAATTTAGTTATATCAATCTACTGTAATAAGGTCTCATGTCCCTACTGAGCGGTGGTTGCTCACCCCTCACCCTGTTTAATTTTTCAGATATATTAGTGGGCAAGACAAGGACTAAACCAGTTGAAGCTGAATTAGATGAGAGTGACTGTGTACATAGCTTGTGGATAAATAATGAGTTACTCTTTTAGTAAACTCTTTAGTAGTTCTGGCTTGTAAAATAATATACTTTCTTTTTTTTTTTTTTTTTACTCACGCACCGGGCGCGGGATTTCCACCTACCCCAGGTCCGGGGCGTGACACTGTTCCATGGTTCCAATTTCTTTGCCTTTAGGCTGTTTTGAGAGACACTGGCTATGGTGGCAGATCTGTGGTGTGGTTCTGTTTTTCAGTTGTTTTTTTCAATTTTGCTTTGTACGGTTTTTTTATTGCATTTAGTTTTGTAATTTTCATTTTCGTTTAACTGTCGATTTTCACCATTTGGGACAATCTCGTTGTTCTTGTTCATGTGTTATTATACAGTTTAGTTGGTTCCTTTGAGCTTCCTTACTGGGTTGCTTTATTTTGTAACTATGTGGTCTCCCCTGTTTTGGGTGAGGTTTTCGGTTTTATGGAAGAACAATGCTTGGCTCCTGATGTATCAGGAGCCATTCCTCCTAAACCATGATGTGGGCACTTTAAAAAACCAACACGTGTTTTGTTTGTTTGTTCTTTTTTCTTTTTTTTCCTTTTTCCTCTTCCCCCAACCTTTTGGCTGGTTTTAACTTCAGCCTTTTGTTTTTTTTTTTTTCTTTCCTTTTTTCCTCTTCCCCCAACCTTTTGGCTGGTTTTAACTTCAGCCTCCCCAAAGCCACAACCACTCCTGTTCCGAATCCACCCTCATCACCAACCTTGCCACTGAACCGATAAGGCAGCCCACCGACTTTCTTTTTCTTCTTTCTCTCTCTCTCTCATTTCTCCATCACTTCTACTCTGGCTGCAAATTCAAAAACCAAAAATTAAAAGCACATAATGATTTCAATCCAGGGTCTTGGGCTCCAAAATTGGTCGGAGATTTACATGGGAGGTTTACATGGTGAGGTTGGTGATGAGGGTGGATTCGGAATAGGGGTGGTGGTGGCTTTGGGGAGGCTGCAATTAAAACCAGCCAAAGGTTAGGGGAAGAGGAAAGAGGAAAAAAAAAAACACGTGTTGGTTTTTTAAGAAGCCCACGTCATGTTTGAGGAGGATTGGCTCCTGATACATCAGGAGCCAAGCATTGTCCTTTATGGAATTATCATCTTTCTCGATAAAAAAAAAAAAGTGATTACAAGCATTTACCCTGGCAACCGAGGTTATAGATTCGATTCTCCCTCCTCCAACATCGCATGTATCAAAAACGGAAAACACATTTATTTTGTTGGAAGAAATTAACTTGATGGGTCAACATTTAAGTCGGTTTTATGTGCCAGATCAATTCTCATGAAGAAATTGGAAGAAGAGTGCCCCTAACAGTAGGGTTTAACAATTCATAGAGATACGGCAAGAAAAATCCCCACAAAAAGATAGAAAACAAATATGTCACAATGGTCAAATAAATGAGGTTGAATATGCATTGTGCATATGATGGAATATATAACAATCCAAATTAATCGCCATTGACAGTTGAGAGACTTCTCTTTTTTCTGTGGACAAATTTACATTTACATTACCGACGGTTGACGTGGCTGACTGAATCTCTGAGAAAATTCCACAAAACCTACGTACGTACCCAGCCAGGTATCCCAAGGAGTACAAAGAACGGCTTCTAGAAAAATCATTATCCATTAATTTCATGTAGCTGTGAAGAATTGTCTGCATGACCTCCATATTGATCTGTGTTTACTTTGAACAAGTATTTATTTATAAAAGTTTTTGTCAAGTTTTTGTCCTGAAGTCAAAAAGTATATTTTTTTTTTCTGGGTCAATTGACAATTTGAACATGGATTATTAGATTTTTCTCTGCGTGTTTGCGTATGATTAAGATGGTCTTTCTATCAAAGTTGGAGTTTTGGACCGCATTCGTACCTCTCAACAAGCCTTGACAGCAATTGTGTACAAAACATGACTAAGCCACACATACACACTAATCTAGAATTAGCAAAAGGATTAAGAGAATTGTGATTTGCACTCCTCTAATAGCTTTTCGGAGCACTCGATATTAAATTTAATTACTAGAAATTAAAGCTTGTACAATAACAAATTTCTATTTTTATTTTTTATGAAATTATGATTGAATTTTTATTATCCAAGAGTTCTATTTGGTGGCACATAATTATGACACGTAAAAATTTCTCAGAAACCCTACCTAAACCCCCAAATAAACGGCATGTACTATGAGCATATAAACATGCAATTAGTGTCAACTATATTGTTTGTTACTAGTCTTAGCCCCCACATAATTCAATTTAGCCCACTAAATCATAGAAATTGATTCGCTAATTCAACCCGAACTTCAGTAATAATGAAATCATAGAAATAGATTACAAAATTG